AGGAAATGCTGGCAGTTTGAATCCAGGCAAATTAACCACCTGATGGATGACTGCACCATCTGTCCTCTACACCCCGCACCCCTGCGCAAGACCAAATCAGTAATCCTCATAAGAAAACAATGGAGTCTGGGGCGCCTGGGTGGCTCAGTGGGTTAAGCCGCTGCCTTCAGCTCAGGTCATGATCTCAGGGTCCTGGGATCGAGCCCCGCATGGGGCTCTCTGCTCAGCGGGGAGCCTGCTTCCTCCTCTCTCTCTGCCTGCCTCTCTGCCTGCTTGTGATCTCTGTCTGTCAAATAAATAAATAAAATCTTTAAAAAAAAAAAAAGAAAACAATAGAGTCTGCAGTCACTACAGTATATTAACTACAATGTGCAGTTTTCAACTAAAGACTACTAAGAATGTAAAAACAAAAACAGGAAGAAGGGTTTGAAATAAATGCAGTCAATACAAAGGGACTCAGTGTTCCCAGATGTTTGATATAGCAAAAGACTTAAAGCATTTATTTTGTTAAAATGGCAATTATATTGGTTGATGTTTGAATGTTTATTTTTATTTTTATTATTATTTTTTAAAGATGTTATTTATTTGACAGAGAGAGATACAGCGAGAGAGGGAACACAATCAGGGAGAGTGGGAGAGGGAGAAGCAGGCCTCCCACTGAGCAGGGAGCCTGATGCCGGGCTCAATCCCAGGACCCTGGGACCATGACCTGAGCTGCAGGCAGCTGCTTGATGACTGAGTCACTCAGGCACCCCTATCTGAGTGTTTAAATCTACTTTGGGTTCCTGAGATAAATCTCATTTGATCATGAAAATTGTACATGTTTTTCAGTTTTTCATGAAAATTGTACATATGGTTTTAAATTGGATTTTAAATAAGATTTTACCTCCATGGCAAATCACAAAAGCCACTGAAATTAGCACTCCTTTCTTCTGTTATTTCAGATTTTAAAAATCAAGTATTTTGTCCTAAACATAAACTCCATGAATGTAGACTTCTGTGTATTTCCTTTATATCCTTAGCAACGAGTACAGTGCTTGACATGGAATAGGTGTTCAGTAAATATTTTTTGAATGAATGAATAAATGAGTGACTAAAGAAACATGCTGAAGGGGTGCCTGCGTGGCTCAGTCATTCAGTGTCTACCTTCGGCTAGGGTCATGATCCCAGTGTCCTGGGATTGAGCCCCACATCTGGCTCCATGCTCAGCAGGAAGCCTGCTTTTCCCTCTCCCACTCCCCCTGCTTGTGCCCCTTCTCTCGCTGTCTCTCTCTCTGTGTCAAATAAATAAATAAAATCTTAAAAAAATAAAATAAAAAATAAAAAACATGCTGAAATTAGCAGTTGGATCTATGGAGTAAGAATTGCAGATATTTTCCATCCATAATGAGGTAATCAAGGTCCTGTTCATTAATCTTGTTTTTGTAACCATGTCTATTTTAGGATTTCTTAATACAAGTTCAGGAGAAGTAGCAAAATAAAGTCATCAATACTAGCTAAATATTGATATATGTTGTGAATTAAAAATAAGATATGGGGAAACAAATCTATAGATTAAAATCATTTCTAGATAGGGATTTAATTTAAAACTAATGTATGAACATATACTTACATTTTAAAAAAACATATTTGAAAATGTGGTCTTTCAATGATCTGACCTAACTTTAATACTCCACTGGTATATTGATCAAGCAGACATGACAGTTTGTGCACTCAAAGGAAAACAAAATGACCATAGTTGTGTATTAGTGAGTAGATCTCTAAGAAAGATATCAGAGGTTCCTTAAGTAAAGCACATAACTCTCATTTAGAAATTCTTTTTATGGTGCACAGGATGTTATTAGGTTGGTCACTAGAGGGTGCTGGTGTTTCAGACCAACACAATTCAGACTGCTTAGACACCAAAAGGTGCCAACCAGAGTCTAACTGGCAGTATCTTATTCTGTGACTCCTCAGATTCCCGAAATCACTATAAGGTAAATAACTACAAAGCAGACAACTTAGAGTAAGATGAAGCAAATCACTGAAAGGAAAGTGTTATGCAAAAGATCTGAAATGCAACACATTTAGAGCTTTTGTATAGAGGTGAGTGAAGAGTCTAACATTAACTCTTCCATACTACGCGATGCTTGTTACTCTTATAAAGTCCAGTTAGCTTTACTACGAGATGCTTGTTACTCTTATAAAGTCCAGTTAGCTACAACATGCACTGCAAGGAGGAAAGTAAAATTCAAGTAAGTCAAATGTTCATAAAGATGAGAATAATTTTTTATTTAAGATTTTATTTATTTATTTGACAGACAGAGATCACACGTAGGCAGAGAAGCAGGCAGAGAGGGGGAAGCAGGCTCCCCGCTGAGCAGAGAGCCCGATACTGGGCTTGATCCCAGGACCCTGGGACCATGACCTGAGCCCAAGGTAGAAGCTTTAACCCCCTGAGCCACTCAGGCACCCCAGAGAATAATTTTTGCTGTAACTGAAAAACATCAGCTTTGCTTTTTTTGCTATTTGAATCATGAAAAAGTCTTAAGTCTTTAAATATATAATTATACTAGAGACTGCTGAAAAAATTTAATCTGATATGTACTTTCATCCATATGCTTTAGATAAAGTATATATCTAATAATAACATCAACTATGATCTTATTTTTTAAATGACATTTTAGGAAAAAAACTTTCACAATTATGGGTTTCAGATTATTTTGAATTAATAAAAGTTTGGGAAAGATTTAAAAAGTAAACCACTTTAGTATTCCTTCGTAGCTGTTGTTCTCATTAGAAACATGACATTTTAAAAGAGAAAACTCATGGGATGCCTGGATGGCTCAATTGGTTAAGCATCTGCCTTCAGCTCGAGTCATAATCCCAGAAGTCCTGGGATCAAGTCCCGAGCCTTACTCAGCAGGGAGTAAGTAAGAGACAGTAAGTCCCTTACTCCTTGATCAGCAGGGAGCCTGCTTCTCCCTCAAACTGCCTCTCCCCCTACTTGTGTGCTCTCTCTCTGACAACTAAATAAATAATCTTTAAAAAATTAAAAGAAAAAAAAATTTTTAATGATATCAAAATACAAAATAATACTGTCATTTCATTAATGTGTGCTGTTAAAATGAAGTTTAAATTACATTTTTGTTTTTCTCCTTTAAAAACTATATAAATCCGGATGCCTGGGTGGCTTAGCTAGTTAAGCAGCTGCCTTCAGCTCTGGTCATGATCCCAGAGTCCTGCAATTGAGTCCAGCATCAGGCTTCTTGTTCAGCAAGGAGTCTGCTTCTGCTTCTCCCTCCGCTCCCCCGCACCTTGTATGTGCTCTCTCAAAAATAAATGAAATCTTTAAAAAAATCAAAAACTATATAAATCCCATAATGATATTTTTCAAGCTCTCAAAACAGAATCAATACAACAGCACAGAAGGAAAGAATGTGAGAACATACTCCATTCCCATCACCTACCATTCATTTACAGCCAAAAAAGATACCAACTAAGCTAGGAAAAGCAAAGGAGCTAACCGGGCTTGCTACAGAAGTCAGTCTGAAGTCTGAGTTAATGGTATTCACACAGCTATATGATCAGGTTTAATTTCTTAAATATGAAGAAAAGTGAAATTTATAAATATTTTTAAATCTTTTCATTTCCTGGTCATTGCTCAGAGTCAGAAAAACTAGACCCTTCCAAAATGTGGGAACAAGGTTACTATTGATTTTCCTCTGCTAAGAGTGGTTACGGTATCCACACAAACGACACTGTAAAGACAGAGGCTGGAGAATTGCTGGAAGACCTTGGGCATATCCCTTAACTCCATGGAGCCTGAGTACCTCATCGTCAAAGGGGAGTAATAATACCAACAGGACCTTGGAAGATCTCTGATAAAACGGGAGACTGTGAAAACACACTAAATATTGGTTTAACAAAAGATGTTACTAGACAATTATGCCCATTTTCACTCAATGTGAAGACCTTCCTAACATCTAACTACAGTTTCTAGTCCTAACGGTATGAGAATGGGCAAGGATTGGAGAATGATTGGAGGCTCTGGAAAAGCTTGCTTCTCTCCGCACCCAGTCACTCCAGCTCCCATAGGCAGGCGGCAGTTGATTTCACGATCTCAGACAACCAAGTGGGTGCTACCTGCCTCTAGGCACTTTAGCCCTGTCTAATTTTTTTTAACGGGGGGAAGGGGAGATTTTAAATGGAGAGCGGTGGTTGAGGTTTCATCTTTGGATGCCAGCGTCCGATTTTGTTTCCCTTTACGAATCCCTTCTCTCAAGGCGCTATTAGTTTTGTATTTTCAGAGCGCCCTCTGGCAACAGAGCAGCTTGGTCGGCTCGCGATCATTCTGGAACCCCAGAGTACATAAAGGGAGAAAAGTTCACACTCAGCTACGCGAGTGTGGTTTGCCTGGATCGCTTAGGGACAGGTGAGTTACACTTGCCAGGGTTACAAAAGAGCTTCAGGACGAGGATGGAGTCCCTGCGTTAGAGTCGGTGGATCGGTGAGGAGGGGGGCGGGCGCTCAGGTCGGCCTTGGCAAGTTGCCGCGGGTCTGGAAGCGCAGGGAGACATTTTAGCCCGGGTCGCCCACGGGCGCTCCTCTGGCAAAGAAGAGGAGGAGGCGCCGCGCAGGGAAGAGAGGACTGGCTAGGCGTCCCGTCCGGCCAGGAGTGGGAGCAAGGAGTCCTCCTGGGAGTTTCCAGCCCAGGCGGCCAGGACAGCGGTCACGCAGCAGCCGAGAGACGCGCACAGTTGCTTCTCCATCCTCCTCCCAGCGCACTTATGCCCACACCCCCGGGCGCCCCGCCCTCCGCGGCCTTATAGAAGGGGCCCGCACCTCGCGCGCCTCGGAGCTACTGGCTTCCCGGAGCCGACGGCGCGGTGCCGCCGCCAGAGGAAAGAAGTGAGGCGGCGGCTACGCCCCGCATCATGGAGGGCAGCCCAGCCCTAGCCCCAGTCCGGGTGGACACCGACCTTCGCCGCCGCCCGCGCCCCGCCCGCCAGCTCCCGCTGCTGCTCTCCGGGCGCCGTCCCCTCCTCACCTCGAAGCCAACATGAAGGAGACCCGGGGCGACGGGAGCGCCCCTTTCTGTACCCGCCTCAACTACTCTTACCCGGGCATGTGGTCGCCCGAGCTCTCCGCCGCGGCGCAGGGCAACCTCACGGGTTCCCGGGACCCCCGCGAGGACTGCGGTTCCGTGTCGGTAGCCTTCCCGATCACCATGTTGATCACCGGCTTCGTGGGCAACGCGCTGGCCATGCTGCTCGTGTCGCGGAGCTACCGGCGGCGGGAGAGCAAGCGCAAGAAGTCGTTCCTGCTGTGCATCGGCTGGCTGGCGCTCACAGACCTGGTCGGGCAACTGCTCACCAGCCCGGTGGTCATCGTCGTGTACCTGTCCAAGCAGCGCTGGGAGCATCTCGACCCGTCGGGGAGGCTCTGCACCTTCTTCGGTCTGACCATGACCGTCTTTGGGCTCTCCTCGCTCTTCATCGCCAGCGCCATGGCCGTCGAGCGGGCGCTGGCCATCCGGGCGCCGCACTGGTACGCGAGCCACATGAAGACGCGCGCCACCCGCGCGGTGCTGCTCGGCGTGTGGCTGGCGGTGCTCGCCTTCGCCCTGTTGCCGGTGCTGGGCGTAGGCCAGTACACCATCCAGTGGCCCGGGACATGGTGCTTCATTAGCACCGGGGAAGGAGGCAACGGGACTAGCGCGTCGCACAACTGGGGCAACCTCTTCTTCGCCTCCACCTTTGCCTTCCTGGGGCTCTCGGCTCTGGCCGTCACCTTCGCTTGTAACCTGGCCACCATTAAGGCCCTGGTGTCCCGCTGCCGGGCCAAGGCCACCGCGTCGCAGTCCAGCGCCCAATGGGGCCGGATCACCACCGAGACGGCCATCCAGCTCATGGGGATCATGTGCGTGCTGTCGGTCTGCTGGTCGCCGTTGCTGGTAAGTAGTTCCAGCGAGTGCGGAGGTCAGGATGGGCGCGCGTGGCGGCGGGCAAAGGAAATCTCTGGATGTGGCAGCACCTGCATGGGTGTGTTTGCAACCACAGAGGACTGGAGAGGCCTCTGTCCCCCTATCTTGGTTGTGGCTTCAGAGTTGAGGTCCTCATTTATTTGCTGAGCACCTTTCAAGTGCCAGGTATCCTTCTAGGTTTGTTTACACACAACTGGAGACCACAGGGCTGCTTACACTCTAACCAGAGAAAGTAGGAGGATGCCCAGCTGTCATTTCAGTGCATGTGCACAGATACGAGTTTCTAACAGGTGCAGTGGGAGCAGAATGGCTGTGACAACTGTAGCCTGGTGTTCTGCGTTTTCTCCTTATTTCAAATATCTTTTGCAAGCTGAGGCGATTTTCAGTCTCTGGACCTACCCTACCTGGGAGAGCAGGCAGGCACAGACGTCCTGCAGCTTCTGAGGCAGCAGTGTGCGCTTGCCCAGCAGAACCCGGCTAACCTTTCTTGCAGGCTCACTCTTGACTGGAAACAGGAGAGTGAAGATATGTCTTGCTGCTGCTGCAGCCTGCCTCAGCCCTTTGGAATGGTGCTTGTATCCTCTAGGAAGTGTTTGAACCCACATTCAGTTGGTGGGACCCTAAAGCCTGGGAACTCTGACCAGCCTTTGCTTGCCCTTGTGCCAAACAGGCAGGGCTGTGGCAGGGCCAGTCCTGAGATAGGATCCTGGGGGTTTCTGCACTTCCTAGCTCCTCATAGAGGGTCACAGCCTGGGAGCAAGTGATGTTTACACTCGCTCCTTGTGTAACACCCAGCTTTACCTGGTACTTTCCAGATTTTCCTCTGTGGTACTTTCAGCTAGAGATTTCTGTGGGTGAGTGTAGTTTAGAAATACCTGATGAATGGATATTTGTTTAGGTTCCAAGCAGCCTGGCTTACTAAGGAGGTATGGCAGAAAGAGTTACCAGATCAATGTGGCAGAATTATAGCGGATTATATATTGGACCTGGAAAGTTACTAGACAGTTGTGAAAAACTTCTGAAATCCATGGACACAGTTTTCAGAACCACTCTCAAATAGTTTTTCTTTCTGGTGATGAAATATACATAACATGAAATTTACCATTTTTAAGTGGGTGATTGAGTGGTATTAAGTATATTGACATTGCTGTGGATTTAGTTTTAAATTTAGTTTAAATTTAATTTAGATTTAGTTTTAAAACATTTAGTTTTAAATTCCTCATATTTAAAAACAAAACCTTAGTTCCTTTTTCCCTCCCTCTCTCCCTTGCATTTGACCAAGCAGATATTCCAGAATACCTGTGTTTAACTGGTGCAGTATATTTAGAGTACAAGTCTTGGCTCCAAATCAGTGACACGTGGTGACAAGGAGAGCTATGTCGGGACCTAGATGCTCACAAGTCACGGTGTGGTCACAGTTCTGCGTTCCAAGAGCTGGAACTCAGGCTGATGTCATCACCATGGCTTATAAAGACCAGCACCAATTTTAGGCATATTTACTTATACGGTTGGGGGTACGTCGGCGCCCAAACAGAAGGGAGAAAGAGTTCTAAAAAACAAACACTTTATAAATGTGGTAATTGACATAACTTTAAAGACAAACAGAGTATCTGAGTTTTTCACAGCTGTCATTTGAAACTGAATTTGCTCTTATCACACACTTTATATGTTTGAGTTCGCTTTTGAGTTTGCTCTTATCACACACTTTATATCTTAAAAGAAATGCAATTAAATCATACAAATAAAATGCTTATCTATACAGCTAACCAGATGAAGAGAAACTATGTAGTGTGTTTTTATTTAATAATTTTGATTCTAATGCCACGGGCATGATAACTCTAAGAATTTAGATCAATTTTGAAAGTTGTAAGCTAGATAGTAAAACTCACTCTCTTCAGAAAGACATATTTGGAACTAGTCCTATTTAATTTCTGCATTCAAAAGATATTAACTGGCTTGCAACTTTGTATCAGAGACTCTGTTGATTCATTTCTTATAAAAACATTAAACTTAAAAAAATGAAATAAATTTAACATGTAATCATATCAAAGAGGAGAAATTCATGGTTTCCAAAGTAGGTATTTTTTAAACCAAAGGAGATGGTTCTGTCTTCTGTTTTGTGCACAAACATTGAAAGTTAAACCTTCAAAAACATTGAAGTTAAACCTTCCAATATCTTCAGAAATATCTGCAGTAAAAAAGTTATTGCAAAGAAAAGAAACTGGCAAAACTGCTTTCTTAGTAGGTTAGGGAATTGTAATAAAAATAATAATATAAATAAATAAATAAAAACACGAACTTAGTGAATTAAATTTTTAATGTGTGTTAATGTTGAAGTGAAAGATTTTTTTTTACATCTGTTTTATAACTGTAGAAAAATATAGATTTCTTATTAGTTTTTGTTGAGTTGTGTGCAGGATACTAATCTAATTATTCACACTTAACTTAAATGGGTCCTGAGTGTATCTTATTTTGAAGACTATCACGACTATAGTAAAATTTAATGTTACTGCTGGAAAACTTAGCAGAGAATAGATACCGTTATAAGAAAACATCCAACCTGCAATAAGTTTCTGCCACATAAATACTTAAACAGAGATTTACCTATGGTGGAAACAAAACTTTTTTACTTTTCTTTCTTCCAGAAACCTCACAAAATGTGAGATGTGAAATTGAGAATACAGTGGGAAATGTCGTCATTGTGATAGATGATCTACAATTTGTGGTCACTTTATGTTTCTATGTGGCATCAAATCCTACTGGAATCAACTAGTTGACTCAGCAATGCAATCTATTTGACTTTTTATTATTATTTTATTTTTTATGAACCAAATTCACCAAATAGTCCAGGTATTAGACATGATAGCCAAGTTTCCAGAAACAGGAATCACCTCAGGGTGTTGTTCGCCAAAAGTTATGAGTACATCTTGTGTTTGTTTAAACCTGACCCTCCCCAAACAGGTGGAATGTGGCTAACATGGTCACTCTCTTAAAAATAGTAAATATATGGGGCACTTGCGTGGCTCAGTCTGCTAAGGGTCTGCCTTCAGGTCAGGTCATGATACTGGGGTCCAGGAATCAAGCCCATGTGGGGCTCTTTGCTCAGTGGGGAGCCTGCTTCTCCCTGTCCCTCTGCCCCTCCCCCTGCTCCTTCTCTCTCTCTCTCTCTCACTCTCTCCCTCAAATAAATACATAAATCTTTAAAAAATAGTAAATATAAAACTAACATTGTGAAAAAGGAGGGCAGAGGACCAATGTTTCTCATCTACAACTTTGGAACTGGATAAAAGCTGCTATAGAAATTTCTGCCTTTAATCTTGAGCTTCCAAATTCTGCTCAGTATCCATAAATGTAAATAGGGATGCTTCAATTCAAGAAGATATTTCACAATGTGGATGTGACTTCTTTTAAATTTAAGGAATCACTGATATATTTTGACAAATGAAACTTGCCTTAAATATACCACGTGTTATAATTATACAGGGTAGATTATTTACAGAGGTAACACTGTTTATAGTACAGAAAAGTATTATGGACTTGCTAATTTTCTCTACCTGTAAATTTCTGCCTTATTTAGGATGTTGCTTCAGGAAAATGACTACACATGTGAACTGGCATTATGGGGGAAAAATCTCATTATTTTTTAAAATTTTTATTTATTTGACAGACAGAGATCACAAGTAGGCAGAGAGGCAGGCAGAGAGAGGAAGAAGCAGGCTCCCTGCTGAGCAGAGAGCCTGATGTGGGGCTCGATCCCTGAAACCTGAGCCGAAGGCAGAGGCTTTAACCTACTGAGCCACCCAGGTGCCCCATCTCTAATTTGTTTTTATAAGAATTGAGTTTATTCAGAATTCTTTATTTTTTTATTACAGTACATTTTAAGCACTGTGGGGAGGATATTAGGTATAATTATTGAAAACTGGTGGAAGAGCTATAATCTGTTCAGAGAAGCAGAATCCCCACATTTATGAGTGAAACAATTAGAGGACAACGCAAGATTTGATGTAATTAGTGCCTTTGGTTCTGGGAAGAATGTCCGTCTGACTTTAGCAGTGTAGACTTCAGGGAAGAAGAGGGATGGCAGAGCTTGACCTTGCAGCTGAGAGTTCCGCACGTGAGAGTTCCCCACAAACCAGAACAGAACGTGTCCACTAGAACCATGGGAAAATGCTTTGAAAAGGTTTATGGGATCAGACTGAGTTTGTTAAGATGAACATGGGATGAGGACAGCATTCTTTTGCCAGTAAACCATAGAACTTCTATTTTGAGTTTCTGAACAGGGGAGAGGGTTTACAAAGATTGATATGGCTGTGGTGTGTGGATAGATTTGGACTGGAAAATGGAAAAGAGAGATTAGTTATGAGTTGCTTTTACAAGTCAGTTAGAGCTTTAGGGTAGAGATGGTGGGAAGAGGTGAGTCAGAGAAAGAAAGGGAATAGAGAACTAAAGTTATCAGAAATGGTCAATTTCTGTGATTGATTGACAGACGTTTCTTCTGCATCTGTCCTCTTCACTGCGGTTAATATTTTCACGTCCATTATACCATTTAACTGCATCCTGTAAGATTGCCACTATTTTCTACTATTTTCTCATTCAAAGAACACAAGTATAAAGAATATTAGAACTAGCTATCATTAACTTTCAGCTTTTTATGTTGTTGATTTTTTTATTTTTGACAGGAATTCTAGCTGTAATAGTGGGCCTTGGGCAACTTATATGTCTTTTTATCTGTAAAGTTTGGAGGTCAGACCATTAGACATTTAAGGTATTTTTCCCATTTATGTTATTCTCACGTTCTCTAACTGGGAAGAATGATAGTTCAATACACAGGAATGGGAAACCTAGAAAGGAGACTGGATGGCCAATTGTTTTTTTTGTAAGAACAGGCTCCTGAGTCACTACGGTTTTGGACAGAGTACATATGGTGAAGGTGGATTATCTAAATGATATATCTAGAAACCAATATAACT